CAAAAGATGACAGAGCAACATTGTAATCATCATACAAGTGATTGCCCACGGACTGGGCATTGATATAGCACAAAAGATGACAGAGCAACATTGTAATCATCATACAAGTGATTGCCCACGGACTGGGCATTGATATAGTACAAAAGATGAGAGAGCAACATTGGAGTTATCATACAAGTGATTGCCCATGGATTGGGCATTGATATAGCACAAAAGCTGACAGAGCAACATTATAATCATCATACAAGTGATTGCCTATGGACTGGGCATTGATATAGCACAAAAAGATGACAGAGCAACATTGTAATCATCATACAAGTGATTGCGGACAGACTGAGCATTGATATAGTACAAAAGATGACAGAGCAACATTGGAGTTATCATACAAGTGATTGCCCATGGATTGGGCATTGATATAGCACAAAAGCTGACAGAGCAACATTATAATCATCATACAAGTGATTGCCTACGGACTGGGCATTGATATAGCACAAAAGATGACAGAGCAACATTGTAGTCATCATACAAGTGATTGCCGACAGACTGAGCATTGATATAGTACAAAAGATGACAGAGCAACATTGTAATCATCATACAAGTGATTGCCGACAGACTGAGCATTGATATAGCACAAAAGATGACAGAGCAACATTGTAGTCATCATACAAGTGATTGCCGACAGACTGAGCATTGATATAGCACAAAAGATGACAGAGCAACATTGTAGTCATCATACAAGTGATTGCCGACAGACTGAGCATTGATATAGCACAAAAGATGACAGAGCAACATTGTAGTCATCATACAAGTGATTGCCTACGGATTGGGCAGTGATATAGCACAAAAGCTGAGAGATCAACATTGTGTTCATACAAGAGATTGTCCCATAACTGAGGAAGCAACATTGTTAACCTCAAGAGACTGCCCAGGGACTGGTATTGTGGTAACACAAGGAATGAGGAGCAACATTGTAGTCATACAAGAGATTGTCTAGGGTCTGGCAATTTGGGATAGCACAAGTAATGAGAGAACCACATTTTGGTCATATAAAAGATTGTCTAGGGTCTGGCATTGACTGGTAGCACAACAGGTGAGGGTGCAACATTGTGATCATACAAGACATTGTCCAGGGACTGGTAATTTGTGGTAGCATAAAAGACGAGAGAGCCACATTGTGGTCATACTAGAGATTGTCCAGGTACAGGCATTGTGGTAGTACAAAAAAGTGAGGGAGCAACATTTTAGTCATATACTATGGCATGAAGTAGCAACTTTTGTGCTCATGCAATAGAATAAAAGAACAACATTGTGGTCATATAAAAAAGTATGGTAACAACAATGTGGTCTGGCAAATTAGTGAGGGGCGACATTGTGATATTGCAGTACATTTACAGCCATACTGTGCTGGTACAAATGCAGACTACTAGTACACGCATGTTCTAGAAGCTGTCTAAGCTTGAAGGTTGTTGAAATATTTTTAGCATTACTAAATAAATGTCTTTAAATTTTGATTATTTTTAGTAAATGAATGTTACTAAAATATTGATATGATAGAATAATGTTGCAGTAGTGTATGAGTGCATATCTCTCCACCATAGAGAACAGGTGCAGGATGATAGGTATAGGGTGAATTCACCATGCATCGGACACCCTTGCACTTCAACAAGTTCTAGCGATATCGCTACCGACCGAATATTATCAAAATGGAACTTAACATGTAGTATGTGGTTAAAATATAATTTTTTGACACAATCATGCCCTATTTATTGAAAAAATGTCATTAAAAACCGATTTTTTCGAAATAAGTCAGAATTCACCATGGATCGGACAATATTCACCATGCATCGGACATACGATATTTAAACCAGAAAAATATCATACCTTGATCTCGGTGCTTTAAAATTAGTGATATCGAAACATTTTTATCTTTTATTTAAAAATTAACCTTCTTATTAAATTTGAATGACTATTTCGATCCACAAATATGATGAGATTTTAGTTGCATCACATCGCCTTAGAAAGGCTTTACAATGCTAGTAATATGGCATCTCGCGCCTTTGTCTCGTGGGTTATAATCATCTAGTTTAAAGAAATAAATTGAGTCCACTTCTAGTCGTCATATATCGATAATTTGTATTTTCGTTGAAAATTTAGAGTTTCTATTTTCTATTTCCGTAAAAAACAGCTGTCATTTGGGTTTTACATGAAAATGGAAGTGATTACCCATGCATCGGAAAGTGTCCGATGCATGGTTAATTTGTGTCCGATGTATGGTGAAATAAACATACTAGTTAAAAACAACTCTAAAATATATTATACAAACATTGAAGTAAAATTTTTGAAAAATTTCTGTAATATTATCAATCATTGGCAAATTTTACCAAGGTCTGACCCGTTACTTTGACGTCTATTTAAAAGAACGACAACTCTAAAAATTGCAAAATCGTAAAATTCTGGTTACTCCCCTTTGATGATGCAAAATATGACGTAATTTCAAGGCCATTCTTGTGGTATTTTTATCACAACATGAAAATAAAAATCAACATCATTAAAAAGTTTAATTCTTCATCTTTAAGACAGAAACAAGTAAAAACACAGGGAGACTCAGGTTCAATGAAAGTTTATTGCTTGAAATTGTCCGAGGCAAGGTATGTGTCCGATGCATGGTTAACTCACCCTAAATTCAAATATTAAAGAGATTTGATATCTCAGAATTAAAGCATGCTGAGGAATTAAGTGGAAATTCTTAGAAAAATTTCTCTCTCTCTCTGTCATATAGTGTTGATACACATGCAGTCCAATATAGTAGCTAGTTCATCATGTACTCAGCAGTAAAACCGTGAAGACAGAAGATGTTTATCCTACATCAGCAACATCAATTAACGTAACACAGATACTAATGGTAATTAATGGAGAAAAAACAAACCTCATCACAATAAATGTGCAGTGAGGTTCCCTGATGAAGGGACTGAGGATTTCACACATCACCAGACTCAATCACTGATTCTAATGGCCGTCCTGTGTTATCAGGCAGCATGGGGGATTATCTCCCCTTTTTAATGCTCCCATGAAATAGAGGAGGGATATAGATTTTTCTGTATCATAAAAAATCGAACTATGCTTGTCATGACATGAGATGATGACAGCGGAAAAATTGCATCTCCCCTGAGTTTTCTTGTGACTGTTGCATTAATCATTCACTTGGAAGTTTAAAGTTTAAACTTATTATTGGTTTTTGGTGAAAGAAAATGTTCAATATATAGTTTTATTGTTCCACTGGGAAATGAAATGAAGTTTTCTATTTGATCTTAATTATATTGTATTATAATCTATCTTTATGACCTTTTTCGCTAGCAAAAGTAATAAAATTGTCTTGAAAGAAAATATTTTCAAATGTTATAAATTTCAAACCAATTTTTAGTGGCATTTTGGATACACACATTTTTGAAGTCTTCAGACTGAAACGTAATATTTAATTAAGCTGTATGAGGGAGTAGTTGTTATGTCAAAAGGTCTTCAGAGTGTGACCTCTAAATTGATTTCAAAGGTGTGCTATTCCCTATGTTACTGACAGCAAGCTATGGAAAATCATGAATAATGATGGAGCCCTTTTCAAAGAGGTGACCATTTTCTTACAATGTTAAATCCCTGTTGACTTTGATTTTGCTGCTGTGTCAATAAACTAGTTGAACACAAAATGTCATACAAAGTAGAAGGGTTAGAGAAAAATGTGTCATTGATCAAACCTTTTTTTAAGGCTTACTTATGTATTTTGAGATATAATGCAAAAATAATGATTTTATTTAGACATGTCCATTTGACCTCCACCCCCTTCTTGTGATAGATGGGGTGGAGTTTGACATCATCACTATCCCTAAGCCAGGGTCTGGGCGGTTCCTGTAGAGATCTTCATTCCCTCTCCTTCTTGTGACAGTGTCAGGGCTGGAGTTTTCCCTCTAGTATGGTTCTTCATTAACAATGGTCAGTGTCCACAAGATTTGTAGAATCCTAAATGTTGTGTCAGATTCTCTGTGTACCATGTTTGGGAGACTTTCATCACATTGTAATATAGTCATTGTCTAATCTTCTAGAATAACTTAAGATTAATCAGTTACAATGTTCTGTTTGCTTTTATGTGGCACCTGCTTAAAGATACCTGAGTAGACACCTAAATACCTCTTCCATTTTATTGTCTGTTTGTTTATCCTCAAATAACAGATGATACTCTTCTCCTCTGAAAGACAGTCTTCATATAGTACAGTATTAAAAATGTTCAGTATTTATATTAAACTATAGAGGGACATATATGGTAAAATCCATGAAAGAGACAAAATCCCTGAAAAAATTGTGTTAGAATTTAAAATATGAATAAAATTGGAAACCTAGAAAAGCACCAATCATGTTTGTTAAAGCTAGGCAATAACACAAAAGACCCATTTTACTTGATCAAACTATCATTATTAGCAGACAAGCCAGATTTCCACTTTATTATAGGTACAGTAATTTTAAGCTAAATGGATGATTTCAGGAAATTAAGGGATTGGTAGTTCCGTTGTTGTATGTAGATGTTAATGAATTGACATGCAAATTGCGTTTAGTCCTTTATCACAGTTTCTATGACGTGCTCTATGATAAAGAATACACAGAGATCAAATATTAGTGACCTCAAAAATCTACAATAGATTTATCGCTAGCTTTTGTAGTGATTGTACAGACAGATTCCTAAGGGGAAATTTGTTGTTTTATTAAAGTTTTAAGCTCTAATGTCCGTGTTTTTTGTTCTATAGGAATATCTCTATCGGCTAAAAGCACTCAGCAGAGTCCTCTTGGAGCTTGTTGCGATTGAATGGAGTTATTCCACATTTTATTCAATATTTTAGTCCATTTATCCAGCTATTAATTCGCCTGGTCGGCCCCTAAAGCCAGCTCCATCAGGAGACAATTTTTATGTAACGTCTGCTACAGAAATGTCAACATGCAAAAAGATTCAAAGCCAAATCAACCATGAGAGAGCATCTTCGTAATTTTTAAAAATCGATGCATCCCTTCATTGTGCGGTGGAGTCAACATTTTTCACGCCCGGGAGATTTCCTTGTGCTCTATTGGTTCAACGAAGCTATTGTCAGGAGCACACAGAGTTCCAATACATAAAAAACACCTCGCGTACCTTTAAATTTTTTTTCATTAATGTTGGCTATTGATTGACAATTGTAGTGTAACAGTGACAGATGCCACGCGTATTTTTATTTCTCGTGTAGCGTTTGATGAAATGCGGACTAGGATCCTAGCTACTCTGTTGAAATGAAGATGATGTTTGTGCAATAATTGAGGATCAAAATTATATTAATGTTTCTATGAGCACAAGAAAACTCAGGTAAATTGATTATTTTTTTTTGTCTCTGTTTATATAAATGGCAGTTGCAATATTTAATTTTGCTGGTGAATTGCAAATTCATAATTGTCAAACCAAACAAATTGTAAAGACGGTATTCTTTGCACTGGGGTGTACATATTAAGAGGTATAAAGCAGCTTAATTCAGGCAGATTTTCCCCTGTCTTCATACAGTTCCAATATTGCCGTTACTGATTAATATTGCCTTTAGGTAACCTAAGTCTTCTACAGAATTGTAATAAATTTTCAAGCAATATTCATGTCTTCATTAAGCTAAGGTAAATGTTCCTTAAATCTCCTTCACTAAAAATTGTCTAAGCCTGGAGATTTTCTAGCAGGGGGCATCCGGATACTTTAAATAAACTTGCATAGAGCACCACATGGCACCCAGAATGATATCAAAACCATGCAGAGCTATTATTTATTATAAACTACCTGTAATAAACCGGGCCAGTCTCGGAAACTCTCTCACCTTAAAAGCTTGTTACACAATTGCTGTGAAGGATTTTAATCCTGTTGGACATCTGTCGGGCCATTTTGACAGAGAAGGTTATTGTTACGGGAAGATTTATGGAAGGGGGAAGTTATTGTTGGAGGGATCTGTTTCCCTCTCTGCTGTGGTCACCAACCCAGAGAGTGTATTTATACCCAGAGCATTGATTTCTGGCAAAGAATTCCCATTAATTTATACACTTTACAGGATGTATATAGATACAGATTTATAATGGAGATACAGTTGATAGTAGTGGTGTGTGTGATTTTCTGTGCTTTATCAGAGGGAGCTAATGTTCTGAAATACATGTCTCTTTACAAAGTAAGACTTTTAACAGATATATAATGTAATTTAGCATATATATTTTAATTAATAGCTTTTAATCAGTCATCACTGACACAGAATTGAGTAATAAATAACTTGATGATATATTTTGTTATTAGAATCTCGGCACCAAAGCTTAACTCATGTAAAATGAAACTTTGGAAGCATTTTGTTTCAATGAACCTTTAATATTTCATGTGCTTATATATCTTTTGTAGTCTAAATCAATAAAATTTTACAATTCTAGTTGGTTTTTAATAACAACAGTATATTAAATTGCTTTAATTACCAGGTTAATCTACCAAATGCCTTTGAATAAATATACTCTGAATGAGTTTAGTTATTCTCGTACTGCAATGCTGTATAAATGAGAATTAGTTTACTATGCTGCAGTGAAATCATCAATACACATAGAGTTGGCAGGGGAGGAGGTGGGTATCTGATATAGATAGGACTTAATCTCTATAAGTACACCCCTGATTTTTTTATCACAGGAAATTAACTGAGAAGCTATTATTGGTGGTGAATAGTTAATGAAGGTCTATAGGTGTAAGTCGGAACAAAAAAAAAATCTATCAGTGAGAGAAAATATATGCTGATTGCATGTGAATATTTATGGATTTTTTAATGTAATACATTTTTTTTTAGCAAATATTCAGATGTTTGATCATGATAATTTTTTTTGCAAATAATGATATTTGTCCGATTATCAATTCTATACAGACAGATAACACAAACAGAAATCATTAGAATAATCTGTCTCTTGTGGTAACCATGGGGTATTTATACATTGCTCAGAATTGTAGCACATTTATTTGAAAGTTGATTAAAACATTGCAAGTATTTGAATACACAGTGCAATTTAAGTTGTATGGTTAATCAGTAATGTAAAACATTAGATACTGAAATAGAATATAACAGTATATCACACAGCCGAGGGCTTTAAAAAGAAATGAAAAAGGAATTTTAAAAAAAAAATTAAAACTTAATTTTTGAAATCTGTGTGAGGTTGGAATCAAAGGTATTTATAATTTAGGCATTAATACTGGACACAGGAGAATTACTCCACAAATATATTGCCTGCTATTTTTAAAGAATACACAGTTCATTTCATTTCTCTTAACTATAAACAGTTTATTTTCCTTTTACATCACTACCTTAAAATATTTAATGAATGCTGTAATTGGATGTCTAATATTGTAATAATTAAGTACAAGGGGATTAAGGGAGGGGTTCAACATTTTTAAAGTACACATTATGTCCTCATGCAGTAATAGGTTTTAATAATGATATGGAAATGAAATATAAGAAATTGTATATTCTTGTACGCGTTACATAGAATATTATTCTGAATGCATGCAAGGTGAAAAACAGACTCTGAGGAGTTACATTGTAATAGTTTCATGATAATCATAAATGTGAAGTTTTCATGTTAAACTGTAATTATGTGAATTATTTCAAAGATGAGGCTTTTTCTGTACAAATATGTGTATGTTTTACATGTTTGAGATGTATATGATACTCTTTATAAAGAGAAATCATGGACACAAAATTAAGACACTAGTATTATTACAGTGATTCACTGAAGTATTCTTATCAAGCATACTGTATTACTCAGATAGTTAGAATATAATTAAATACCTGTGTCATGCATCTACTTGTAGTATACCAATTACTTGATCTGTGAAAAGAATATTTAAAAATTATTTTTCATGATTTTTAATATTTCCAAACTACATGCAAATTAAAACTTTTGATGAGTAATAAGAACTCTGACTTAACCGTTTGAGTGAATTTTCATTTTCTGTTTTGCATAAGAGTACTTTAAATTAAGAAATTGAAATCATTTTTGTTTTCAATTTTGCAGACTGGAAATGTTATTTGTATTATACAGTTAATTATCAAATTTTTTATTTCAGTAATTTTAAGATTGGAAGTTTTGATCTTAATTCTGTAACAGAATTATCTCAAATGAAATCAATGTTATCAGGTAAATTGGAGCTTTAAAAAAAAGATTCAGATCTACAGATTCAGAGGTAACTTTCCCACGACCCACATTGTGAAAGAGTTTCCATGTTTTAAGCCTGGCTTATAGAGTATTCTTCTAGTAATTTGTAAATTTATTCATTAAGGCGCGCTGTGTCAGCCTCAGTGACTCATCGTGTGTGACACAGACCAGGGGAATTGTCTTTCAGGATCGTACCAAAGAAAGCTCTTTTATTCTGTCCCCATTTGACTTACGATTTTGCTTCTGCTACAGAAATTGACAATATGTGGCTGAAATTGAAAAATAACATTCCAGGCTGCATTAGGTTGTGTGACATTTCCTACTGATTAATAAACCATGGAATACGTTAGTGTTTTTTTTCTTAGAAAATTTTCTCGATCGGATTTAATTGTGACAATATTAACTGTAGCAGAATTACAGTTCCACTAACTCAGTCAAGTCGGAGATTTTTATCAGAGAAGAAACTAAATAAATGCTTAAAGCAGGATGTATCAAGCATTACTAATTTTACCTTAATTGTTAGGAAGTAAACCATGGAGTGAAAATAACATTTTGATGCCCATGTACGAGCATGGTTATTTTTCGTCTTACACGGTAAAATTTGCTGCATCAAGTTTTTATAGAGGAAATGGTGATAGATTTTTTTTGAGTCCTGCAGTGTAATTATGGATTAGAGTCGTTAATGATGATTGAGATCCAATGTTGTAGCTATACACTTTCCATGCCATGTCCTTTCGGAGGGACACGCTTTAGCTCTTGACGCAATCTCCTGACAATGATTTGAGAGACTAGAATTCATATCACAGCAGTGGATGATTGTGACCATAATAATGGAATATTAGCTCTCTCTTCTGGTAAATTGCTACTTTTTACTTGAGAATTATCTTGTTTTTGGAAATATTGTTGGTTTCAAGCATTTGTATTAAAGGAATTTATGACAATTCTCCTTTTAAAAAGCCATATTATGAAAAGCTTGTCATAATATGGTGAGTTTTCTTAATATGTGAACATGAATATTTTTGGAAAAGTTACCAGGGGTACTCTTTGTTTTAGAATAATTGTTATGCTACTTAATTATATATATATTTTTTTATTCTGGTACTCATAAGATGTGTTACAATTTTTTCCTCATTTAACATGTCATTATATGATTACAATTGAACTATGATACATCTTGTACAGCATGACTGGGACAGTCCAAAACCTTATAGGGATATATGATTATGTTTTCAGAGTCCTAAGTCTATAGAGTCTCTGAATGATAATGATTTAATATATCCAGGTTAAAATGACATAATTTATACATATATAGGCTAAACACAATTTTTTCAAAGAAGATGATGTATTGTGTTGGACTTATTGTCTATGCACATGTATATTGATATAGAGCTAAAAGTCGATCAACACATTTTTCCTTGGGTTACCTCTTTGCCATATAGTTGTGGGACATTATATATAATACGATTGTACTCAGTCTGCCTTAGTTGAGAGAAAGATCAGGGCATCATGTCAGGGTGAAGTGAAGGTCAAAATTATATTTAGTTAACAAATTTAAATCTAGGTCAAATTAGCATTATTGAGGAATTATTTCAGAAATTAAGCTTTCCCTCTTTATCAGAAAGACAAAAATGAAATTACAAAAGGACAAGATAGGCTAATTAGACCCCTTTTTGGCCCCAGGATTGGGGTGCAGGTCTCATAGAATGATGCAAATATTCACAATCAAAAACCTCTTGTCATCTCAGGTGTTATAAAAAATTGATTATTGACTCTAAATGAAGGTCAGAGGTCATAGGAAGGTCACACAATTTATCAATTTCCAAATTTTCTCTTTTTTTATTATAATTTTTATCAATTTTAAACCACATTTTGATTCAGAAAAAAGAGGGCACACGCAAGCTTGTCTTAATCTACCAAATTTGTAGATATTTCTTGCGTTAAAATTAGTTTTGGATACTGGTACATACAGTGTATACATAAATCTTGTGTTTAAAAATCTCAGATAGACAATTAAGTTTGTGCTCTCTGTTTTTCAAAGTGAAAAGTATCTAAAATTTTACAAATTCCATCATAGTTGAGGAAATTCAGTAAAACGTACCCTGTCAGCCTTACATGACCTCTGTGTATGCTTTGAAACAAAATTTAATGAATGCTGGTTTTAAAACAAGCATTGTTTAACGTTCTTAATTGCAAACTGTAACAATTTTAACTACATGTTTTAAATTTTATGTCAAACAGGGGGCCAAATTTGGCCATTACCTGATCTTATAGAATTCAAATATACATGTATCTAATGCAAGTTTTACTTATATTAATTCACCTACTTTTATTGAACAAATTATGTTAAACTGCAGCAGAATTATTTAGTCAATTTACAATCTCTTTGTAAATAATAACTACACATATATATCCAAAAAATGATGAGGTATTATAACTCACCTTTTGATAATGTAGACGGCATGGTATTCAAAAATATATGATAATTATATCTTTAAGTGCACTTATGCCATGATAATTTAGTAACTTGAAAATTTTGTAAAATTCCACTTGGGTCTTAATTTATATGGATAATCTTTCATTTAAGGTGTATTGTCTTTGATGTGATTGCAAGCCTTGCATGTACAGAAAAAAAAGCATTTTGTCAGCCAGTATAAATCTAGTAAATCTTTTTTATGATTTATGTGTTATAAAGTCATAATTACTGCAATTAATGGCCATCCAGCATTTCTATTGACCCAGAAAAGTATACCCTAGGGTAGCCATTCTGTTTCACTGTGAAGGAATTTAATACAGAAATAATGTTTTTATTCTATGTAAAGGTAACAAGATAGGTCCCAAAGTGAAGGCATTGCTGTATTGATGAGTTTTGGATCCTAGAAACCATAAATTCTCCATTTTTTTTTTAGACTGGTCTGTGCGACAGAGCCAAAGGTCTTCATTGATTGCTGGGACAATCGCATTGTCCCTTGCTTCCATGTGTTGTCCATTGTCTGTTCATGGCCTGCAGGCATCAGTAGGCAGCACGAATAGTCTCCCTAAGCTCGTAGATTTTGCTAATCTCTTCTTTGTAAATTGACTGTCATTTGCAGGAACAGAGATTTAGCATTGTTCTATAAAACTACATCCTCTTCTTACCTGGAGGTGATTCTGTGTGTACTCTGTCGCATCTCAGAGTTATTCTGTACGTATCGGAGAAAGTCTTTGGTGAATTAACTTGATTTGTGATGTTAACAGTCCTCAAGTGATTTTATTTTATTTGATTCTTAGATTAGTGTCTCTTTATGGTCTTGATATTATTTGTTCAAATTGGGATGTTGTGTGTTGAGTGCATGATATAACCTGTGAGATCTAGAGACAAATTAAGGTACAAATTAACAACTCAATCATTCATCTTGCAGGTGGAATATAAGTTGTGTCTGAAGACGATATGAGGACAGGACATTTTGTGAGATATGGACACGCTGGAGAACAAGTCGACATTAAATGAATTTAAATCATGAAGCGAAGCGACCATTTTATCTTGGATTTTACTTTACTATGGTGCTGGCTCTGTTACTTTGCACAAGGTAGGAATTATTATGTTAATTGATTTTAATTAGTCTCTCATTCATCAGGTATCTTAAAGATGGTACGCAGAGGTTTCTCTTTTATTTTACTTTACCCGTACAATAAGGAGATTCTTTGGAATCAAATACGTCAGAGTATCTGAGGAAATTTACCATACTTATCCAGCCATTAATTTGGCCAAGATTGCATGATTATGATGTTAAAGCCATACATCTTAATATAATGAATTTCTTTTTCTTGAAATGACACGTATTTCAAGGATACTTTCACAAGATTCTCAAGAAATTTATTTTTAACTTGAAAACCATTAAAATTTGGTGTTTAATTTAATTAATGAATTTTCCCTCTTTTGAAATTTATATCACCTTAATTAGTGAACAATCAATTTTAATAAGTAATGAAAAATAGCCTCTGTTCATTGTATTACGATAGTCTGTTATCGGGCATTTGTGTATATACTTGACATTTGATCATGAATCCCCTCGAGTGATATTGACAGAATTAACAACAAGCATCCATTGACAAATACACCTGTTTGACAGCCTAATCATGGACAATCTTATAGGTCCATTAGGGCTACAAAACACCTTAATTATTGTCTACCTGTCAATTCGCACCTCATTTACCTCAGGTAGATTTAAAGTCTCGTTTGTTTCTGATATGTCACGTTGTTGCGTTTATAGTTAAACAGGTACAGAACATTTGACAGTTACAGTGGCAAGGTGATGGTGTTAGATTTTATGTTAATTATTAATATCATTTGTAATGAAGTTAGATGATCAATTGCTTGTTACATGGTGTAATTTTATGTAATAAAGATCTGATAAATTCTAATCTTGTGCAAGACTGAAATGTTTGAAGACCTTGTAGTCAATGAAGAATTCATTTGCTGTTCTTTCAACATTTTTCATTAGAAAAAGAAAAGGAAAAGGAGAGAAAATGAGAAATATATACACTAGTATATATAAATGATTGTGATCAATACTCGATTAGAAAAAAAGTAGGCACGAATTGTGATATAGCAAACTTCTTTAGGACTGATTGTTATTATATACATAGATCATGAATCTTTGATTAGACAAATGCCTCTAAAATATGTAGCAAACTCTTCCGAACTTCAGAGAGCATGCTTTATGAGAGACTTGTGTTTCTAAACGTAGCCAAAGTCTGGCCTAGCTAGAACCAGTTTTAAGAAAGGAAACCAATTTGCTCTCTGTCAGTTTTCCATTGATTTCACTATTATTATTAAATTTATATATCTCAGTTCCGTGACTCTCTGCCCTCTCTCAATAAATTGTTATGGGATATGCAATAAGTATATGTTTTATTTATGTGTGCTTACTGAGTACCCAGACAAATTTTATTACACCCAATTACAAGATGGGATATGGGGAAATCAATACGGAGAGGGAATTCAGTAAAACACACTTCATCACACTGGAATGAGACAAAATTCAGTTGATTGTGGCTGAAACAATTAGAAGTCGGGAACACTGCCTGCATGCAATTAATGAAGGCTGAGGAACTTTTTTCATGATAGGACCAAAATCAATAAATTTTTGTTTTGTTCATGGATTTATGAATCTTTGCATTGAGTTTATCAGTTGAATTTTGTGTATTCAGTCACCGCATATCTGATACCGTAATTACCCTTAAACTCATTAAATATTGTAAAGCTAATGCACAATGCATTAAGGTGCCGGGAATTTTTGTCTTGTAATAAAACAGTCAATGTATGCAGTGCTTGTTTTGTTAAGAATAAAAGGCAAAAAATATTCACTAAAAGTTGATGTTACAAAGTAACTGGAAGAAGACAACAAAAACTGTATCTATATTTCAACAGAGCGAGACGTGTCTAAGGTTATTCATCAGTCTTTGCTCTCAAGGAAATCCAATATACTTTTTTCTCTCTCTCTGCGTCCCAGTATCGTAATTTAACCATGTTTCCAGAGACATTTTACTCGTCACGAGAGGCTGTCAGGGAGAATGAGCCACATTTGCTGGTCAGGATATAGCACTTTTAATATTGTTCGTGAATTTCCGCGGCTTCTGTAGAGAGACATCAATCAAAATTTATACAGAGAAATTTATCACCCACAACCACTCGGCCGCTGTCGGTCTGATTACTTATAAATCGCGCAGAATTCATTTTTACCAAATTATCACTTGCCACTGCTTGTGAAAATCTGACAATCGCTGGTCAATTCGGCCATCGATTCTGTCGACAAGCTCAGATATGCTTGCATCATTAACTTTTTTGCCTGCGTGTGATTTTTTTTTCCACCAAGGACGTGATCCAAGATCCAAGATTAACGAAGTAATGGTGAAGATGTCTCGGGAGTTATAAGACATGCAGGCAGCTCCTTGGTTGGTCAATCCTATCAGAGGAGCACAGATCATGAAGCTTTTAATGAAATCATAATGCCACTCAATCAGCCATTCCAAATGATCTTGATGTACCATGTATACTCTAGTACAAGGTGGTGAGGAATACATCAGATGTCATGAAATATTAAAGATATCCACAGCACATCAGAAAGCTGTAAATTTGATATGAAAGGCTCAGACGTACCTTAAGCATAGAGAGTAACTTTAAGAAACTATATAAAGACATTGTAACAATTTAAGAGTCCTCAGATAAATATAGATGCACCATACTTGAGATATCTTAAATTGTAGAACTCATAAAGTTGAGGAGGGTGGGGGTAATGACATTCATTTTTTTTATGTTCAATGCTCCTAAATGTTTTAATACCATGCTTCTCTGAAGTCTTACAAATTAAGTTATTGTCAACAGTTTGAAAGTGTGATATCAGGCCCATCCATGCTTTATTTTTGATGTTTTTTTCTTGTTCACTGATCTAACAAATTGAAATTTTCAGCAGATTGGGGTGTTATGTTAGGAGGACAATGGATTCCCTTTGTGCCGTTTAGTATGACCATTTTTACACTCCCAAGCCTCATTTTCAGATTGATGCCTTCCATTATGGTCACCCAGTCTTCCAAGATAATGTGATTTTTCAACAGATTGTACTTTGTGAAATGGAATCAAATTGTGCTAGTGATGTCTGTTGAAACTTTGATTGGTTCTAAGTGGTCTGCGGAAATGTCCTCTAAACTCCATAGAATGCTAATGCATCAGAGAGAAAAAATGCTTAGCCTTATTGTCATGGCAGTGGCTTGATTGGGTTTTTTGGGTGGTTGTTGAATTAATGCAATGCATTTTGTTCTGTTAAATTCACATCTCAAATAGAGAAAAAGAATATCCAGAGCATCACAGATACCTGCATATATGAGATTTCTGTTGCTTCTCCATCATTTAAAAAAAAAATTGGAAAAAATTTATCTTCTTTCCTAGCTCTCCCAGTATCAATTTTTTCTTCATTTGACAGAACTTGAACTTGTTTATGAGGAAGCTAGATTTTAGTACTATGTTTGCATGAGGAAATTTATTGTGAACAATAAAAAATATAGCATTTTGTTCTTGTTTGTAGTCTTCAATTCGATATTACCTCAAATCAAATTTTGCCATTTGTTCACAATTAAAGCAATTAATAAAAAGGCAAAATTTTTTGACACTGTGAACATAAGAAGGTATAAGCTAACTTTTGTCAGAATTCAGGATTCATTGCAGTAAAAAACAAAACTGTTCTGCTGAGTACTTATGAACTCCAGGAGATCTTCATCTCTTTAGCTATTTTGGTATGAAGATCAAAGTACAGTATATATATATATATATATGGCTCTATTGTTTCAGCATCTATACTCCACTGTGGAAAATCTGTCTACCAAGGTGTCTGGATCATTGATTTCTGAGGGTAGAACCATAATTACCCTATCCCTTTCTAATGATTTTAAACTTTTTTTAGGGAAAATTTTTGCTAGCAATGCCATTATCTGACTAGAATTGATCGCAATTCATAACTGAGGGATACCTTTGGAATCATCATTGTTTGTGGGGGACCAGTGTTCAAGGATTTCATAGGTCACCCTCAATACCTACGAATTTACATTGACATGAAGGATGTCAACGTAATGATTCAATGAACGTTCTCTATATGCAAGTTGCACACAAAATTATGTCCCAAGACATGAACTAGTATAATTTAATTTGGTTGCCCATGAACATTGACCCCTGACAAATTAAGATGATCAATTCCAGTGTATATATATTTAGAATGATCAAATCAAACAAAGCTATACAGAACAACCATACATGTAACTATGACAGATGCCATTTACCATTTACTCAGTTTATTCATAGTACTGTACTAATTATTTTGATTATATGTTTCTGTGGAGATTTCAGAGGGACATCATTAATAATTCTTCATAATTTTCTTTTATATTACATCATACATGTCTTGATTATGTCATTATGGAAGAAAGAGTGTTTACTTAGTAACCATCATTATTTTGAAGTTATGAAATATGAAATTAATATTTATTTTACAAACATTATTGAGTACTTTGAGTAGTCATGCATTGATGTTTTCAACAGAATATTAAATTTTTTTCATATAAGTAAAACTGATATGCAATGTGACATTTGCACATTAATATGCTAGTGAATGTTTTACATATCATGGCATAGCTGAGAGTGAAAAAAATGTGTTGTTCAAGATGATAACAAAATTGGGGGGGGGGGGGGGAGTGAGGGTATCCTTTGCCTTTAATTTCTTTTCTTCCTTAATTATGAGCTCTAGCTGCTATCATTCTTCTGCAGCCCTGAGTATAACAATCATCCAGGGACTTAATTTAATCATCATCACCCATCACATTTTACGTCAGTGGTATATGACCTGAGGAAAGCCCTAACTTGATTGAGACACAGAAATGCATTGACCTGCCCAGAGTCATGGGGCTTTTAAAGGAGAAAACTCTTTACTACGCATCTGATACAGGTGTAAATTTGACCCCTGAGATTGGCTGATGATGTGTTTATTGACCCTGAGGTCATAGAATCCATAGCAATCACCATAAGCACAGACAGTAATTA